GTCATGTCATGTCAGACCAGGGCACACTGAGTCACATCAAGTGACGCGACATGCCTCGATGCTAAAACGACATCAGGTCAAGTCTTGCCACATCTCGTCTGTACACTCACGGTGATGCTGAGCAGCGTGAGCAGGAAGGTGACGAGGAACACGGAGATGCGATAGCTGCGCAGCAGGCTGCAGGGTCTCATCATCGGCCGGGGCTCTGAGTTCAGGTATAGAGCTCCAGTGTGCATCAGCAAACACCTGGAGTCAGTACGGAGCACCACGAGGGTCAAACAAAGAATCTTAATCATCACAACAAATCTGACTCTTTCACTGCACTTCTGATTGAAATGCAACCAAATATTTGATGTGTTCTTCTTGTATTTTTCTGACTTGGCCGTTACATGAATCTGTAATGTGTATGAACAGGCAGAGGTTCCTCCTCACCTGTAGGGCTCGCTGAAGTTGGCCTGACAGTGGCTGATGTTTCCTAGTATGAACGCAGGCGACATGAACATCACCGGCAGCAGACTGAAACACAGCATAGGTCACATGTCACCCGTCAGTACAGGTATGGTTCAATAAATCACAAACATTTCCCACCTGAACACAAACATCACAAAACGTCTTTCAGTCTGAACTCACCATGAAAGCAGCGCAGTGATTTTACCTGCCGTGCTCACTCTGTTGGAAAACTGCAAAACAAATGCAGAAATATGATTTTAGCACATTTACATTCCCACAGGAATTAGATTAACTTGACAGTTTATCACATTCAAGCTCTTCATTTCATTCAAGTGACACTTTAAGACTTCTGCATGGAGTTAGACGAAAAGACAAAATCAACCACAAAAAGATGTTAAATGATCAGCGAAAGAGATCAAATGACCACAAAAAGATGTAAATCAACAAAAATGAGACACAAAACAACCACAAGTACACAAAAAATGATCAAACAAAGAAGCAAAATTACCATAAATAGACACTAAAGAACCACACAAAAAAACAGAGACGCTAAACAACCACAAATCCATGCAAAACGATCAAAAAATAGCAAAAGTGACCACAAAGAGGGATAAAACAACTAAAAATTGACACATACTAACCATAAAGAGACAGAAAATGACCATAGACAGACACAAATCAAGGATAAAACAAATAAAAGATCTCAAAGAGACAGAAAACAACCAAAAAGTTGGAAAAATTAACGATAAAAAGACACTAAAGAACCCAAAAAAAAAGACATAACGATAGATAAGAGTTTACATATTAACTATATCTGGGACAACAGCAACAATAAATGAAAAACTTTTTAGCTGTTTAAAGGCTTCAACAGACTTGGAGGGGAAGATATGCAGCAGAGGATGAGACACATTCAGGAGAAACATCATGTTTGTGCTGTTTGTCCTTCAGGGCCACCGTACCGCTGAGTGTCCGCTGAGGCAGCTGTCGAACTTCTCTCTGATTCCTCTGTACAGGTTCCAGATGTAGTTGAGGGTGTAGAGGAAGGAGGCCATGTAGAGAATCTGGAACAGGGATCGTAAGAACGTCGGTTTTTATCAAACAGAACCTTCGTCCAACTTTGTGGACGTTAATAAACTCGGCTGGCAGACGGAGACTAAAAACCAGCAGCTGAACCCAGACTCGCTGCATCCGAACAATACATGTGGGTCAGGAATGTTTCTGGCCTGGTTCTGCTGCTCTATTTATTCCCAAAACTGACCCAGTTCAGGATCAGCTCTGGACCGGGTCGACTGGGGAAAGAGAACCCAAAACACCAGGACAGGACGGATCTGTTCCCTCCAGATTCAGTACTCAACCAAACAGAACCTATCGATGACTTTAAAGGACGGTTCTGTGCGTTCAGCTGATTAATGAAGCAGAACCACTTTAAAACTCAGATATTATGTCAGAGTCGAACATTCTGGCAACAGGAAATCTGGACACTAGATGTTTATTGATAGTTGGAAGTTGATCAGAGTGTCTTGAGAAATAAAACGCTTCGATAAATATAAAGTAAGAACAGGTTCATCATGTCCAGTCCGACCAACACCGACAGCTCTGTTATTAATCAACATGTGTTGGCTAGACAAGACAAGACAAGACAAGAAAGTCAATTTCAGTTCAATTTCAGCTTCTATAGCACCAGTTCACAACATGTCATCTCATAGCACTGAACATAATCATGGAAAGACTTCACAAATGTTGAACAGAGAACCCAACAATCCAAAGCTCCCTGATCCCTGAAGAACCCAGCGCAGATGAGAGAATTTCGACCAAACGCAACTGGATCCTTCTGAACACCAGTATGAGTCCCATATGGTCTAGCGGTCAGGATTCCTGGTTTTCACCCAGGCGGCCCGGGTTCGACTCCCGGTATGGGAACTAGATCATTTGTTTACAGCACGAGCTCCTTTAGGAGAACTAATGAATCCTGAACTGATGCCTCACTTCATCAGAGGACACCAGATGTTGGCTCCTAAAATACTGAGTGGACTGTCCTGATGTTTCTACAGCACGTTCAGGCTGTTTGTCATGTGCTGACAGTTTGTTCA